GCGAAGCCCTTTTCCGCGCCGACATAACCGCGGAGGGCAAATCTGCGCCGTCCGAAGCGCTAAGGAAAAAGGCAACCCTAGCGTGACGACATAACCGCGGAGGGCAAATCCGCGCCTTCCGAAGCGCTCAGCACCCTAAACCTAACCCTAAACCTAACCCTAACCTAACCCTAAACAACCCTAAACCTAACCTAAACCTAACCGTAAACCTAACCCTAAACCTAACGCTAAACCTAATCCTAAACCTAACCCTTACCTTAATTTAAATCGGCTTTCTGCCGCCGCACTGTTTAAAAGCGCCCTTCTGCCGTCACGCTGTTGTCACGGCGGTGATGACGTCACGGTGATGACGTCGCGGCTTTAGCGACGGGGTTTTATCACCGCTATTTTGACGAGCGCGGTTTTGTCGTGCCACGCAAACAATGCAATGGAATGTAGAGGGACTTCATGCTCAGGTTGGCTTTAGAAAATATCAAGTGGAGATGTCCAAGCAGTGGGCTAGGTTCTTGCAAATGATGCTCTGATGACCATCTTTTCTTTTGGTGTGCTTTTATCTCAAGTCTTGGCACAGGAAAGTAATGGTGATCGAATCATAGGCGGATATGATTGCACATCAAATTCCCGTCCCTTCCAGGCAGCCATTGTAACTGGAGGTAAAGGCAACTGGAGGATTTATTGTGGAGGAAGCTTGGTGCACCCGTGTTGGGTGCTGACAGCAGCCCATTGTAGATCCAAACAAAGGTAAGCCCAAAAAGAAATTATCATGAAGCAGCAGGGAGGAATGGTAAGCATATTTATCATAGGGTAAGAGCCTTGCCTTGTGAGCTAGTTGATATAGTGGTTAAGGTGCTGAGGATGGGGAGACCCAGGGGGTGACGTTCTCTCTTGAGCATGGAAGCCAGATGGGAAATCATGAGACAGACAGTCCTGCTTTCTTAGTCCAAATCAGCATCAAGGTGACAATAGAATGGCCGAGCTGAAGGAGGAGTCAAGTGGGAAATTAGTCTGTAATCCTTACATGGGCATAAGAGGCCTGGCCCAATTGAATGCCATTGGACCTTGTCTAGTCTGGCCCAGGTGCAAACTGCCAGTCTGGGAAGATTCCTGTGAAATAGGCATTGGGCAATGAAGTAGCTAATTAAACTCTTCACATTGTTTATGCCTGACACTGAGACTGAAAAGCAAAGAAACTCTCATCATATCACCCATGGATGGTTTTGTTGTGTGAACCAGGCAAGTGCAGTGCAAAAACAAGCAGGCTCTGCTACCAGGCAAGACAAACGTTAAGAAAAGGAACAAGGGTCTTGCTCTTTCCCAGGGAGCATAACAAGAAACAGCCCCCAAAGTCCACGTCGATCCCCCCACCCCCAAGATTTCACAATCAACCCCAAATGAAGAGGCTCAATATAAGCATTTTAAGAACTGTCTGCTGTCTGTTATGATCTATTCAGCCTAAAATATCAGTACAATAAGAGCCGCGGTGGCGCAGTGGTTAGAGTGCAGTACTGCAGGCTACTTCTGCTGTCTGCCGGCTGCCTGCAATTTGGCAGTTCGATCCTGACCAGGTGGCAACTCGAGAGCAGGGGAATGTGACTGATGAGACACCAGGCTCAAGGTTGACTCAGCCTTCCATCCTTCCGAGGTGGGCAAAATGAGGATCCAGATTCTTGGGGGCAATAGGCTGATTCTATAAACCGCTTAGAGAGAGCTGGAAAGCACTGTGAAGTGGTATATAAATCTAAGTGCTATTTCTATAATCCACCAGAGCCAATTTGATGTAGTAGTTAAGGTGCTGGCCTAGAAACTAGAAACAGGAGACGTGGAGTTCCAGTTCCATCTTAGGCCTGAAAGCAGACTGGATGAATTCAAGCCAATCAATCTTTCTCCACCCAACTCACCTCCAAAATTGTTGTTGTGGGGAAAATACGTAGGAGGAAGGAGTATTATGTATGCTCACTATCTTAAGTTACCCATAAAGTAATAAAGAGAGGACAAAAACCTAATAAGTAATAATTTCTAGTTTCTATAGGGTGGTGTTACTCAGCCTCGTTCATGATTTTCTTGTGACCCGTTCTATTCTGTTTCGTTTCGTACAGGGTGAAAGTGTGTTTAGGAAAGCATAATCTGAAAAAGGTTGAACCCATGGAGCAGTGCGTGGATATCGCTGAAGCTATCCCACACCCAGGTTACAATAAGAAGAAAATGGACAAGGATTACATGCTTGTTCGGCTTAAACCCTGTGCCAAAATAACCAAAGCAGTTAATGTCACGCGGCTGCCTACCAGTTGCCCAAATGATGGGAAACGATGTACTGTTTCAGGCTGGGGCACGATCAAATCACCTCAAAGTAAGGGGGCAAAAAGGGATGGGCAATTGTTGTTTTCCTTTTGTCATCATTCATGCAAATATGGCCATGGCAATTTCTTACTGCTGTTTAACGTCCCACTACTAAATTCTGTTTGCCTTATTGTACTACTAGCTGATCACTCGGCATTGCCCGGGTATTTATTTATAGGGGAAAAATGTTTGGAACAAATGTAATTTCTAATATCAGATTTTCCCCCTTACCAGAGGGAGCTCCCGTGTGGAATACTGTGAAGCCATTACCATGGCAACTCCACTGCGCTGTACAGTAGAAACCATCTTACTGCAGTGCAGTATAAGCCATTTTAAGGCACGACAGGCTGTATCTTAACAGAACACATACCCCGAGGGATGTTAGGGGTGTCTTATATATATCTCCAGTATTTTCTATATATTTCTATCTCTATCTCTATCTCTATCTCTATCTCTATCTCTATCTCTATCTCTATCTCT